ATCGAATACTCTCGCTTAAGAATTAAGAGAGTAATTCCGGTACAAGTCTGGCGCTGCGACAAAAAGTATAAATTGAGATTTGGAATTTGTGGGAAATATATATTTTATCACAAAGAAAAATTTCTCCAAGTGAAGAAATTAATTTTCGAAAAGAAAATTCATCGAGCAAAATAAAACAATAATTTTCGAAAAGAAAATTCGTCGAGCAACCAGTGAACCAGTTTCGTCGTTTAGCAAGTACGAGATTGGAAATTAAATTATGAAAAGAAGGATAAGAAGGACTACCTAAAGGGAATTTCTGAATTAACGATTTCTTCAAACTATTTCGAGTCTTCTGCTGACACAGAGCATTTAGTAAAACAACTGACTTCACAATTTGAACAACACTCATCAAGTCAAACATTAAAATAACAATCAAGTGATAAAAAGTAAAATAAAAAGTGAAAAATCAAGTTTTTGAACAAAATACAAATTACTTGAATAAAATTTGAACACATCCTGCGGATAAAAACCATCATTCAAACCAAAACCAAAACAATAACTTCATTTTAACTACACAACATTGGATTGAAAACTGAGACCGATCATCTACAACATCTACAACATTCATCTACAACATTCGAAGGAGATATTTGGATTAATCAACTGTATCTATTACCTGAAACTACCCATCGCACAATCAGAAATCAAAAACGACTTGGATACTTCAACCAGCCTAAATACAATAAATCAAATAGAGGCAGTAAACAACAACTCTCCTAAATTTTGGGAATATAGAGAGAAAGGAAAAAAGAGCAAGCAGCTGTAACATTGAAGATTACTGGAGTATAATAAGCGATGAACTTTCCTGACTAACATCAATAAAATCAATATAGACACACGATAAATTTAATTTAAAAATAAATTCAAATTTATTCCGGTGAGTGAATGTTTTTTGATTATTCCAAGGCAAATTTTATTTTGGAACATGTCCGTAAATATTCAAGTAAAAATGAGCGAGAATAAGATAACAGATCTAATGCAAGAGAGAATTTCATTGATATACCAAATTAAAAATTTACGACAAAATAAATGTGATCAAAACACTATTCAGGAAGTTGAAGAAGAACAGATTCAAAATCATGAAAAACGTCTGAACGATATAGGGCACGAACTAAAAGAAGAGGTGTATCATTTGAGACAGTTAACTGACATTATTGAAAGTAAAAATAGAGATACTGGCGTTTCTAATACAAAAAACTCAATTGTTCGGGGACAGTCAGATAGCTCCGAAAAAAGTAAGAATTTAAAATTAAAACCAAGCCTCAGTAAGACTTTTGAGAAAAATTCAGTTGCGTTAGACACCAGTCAAGATATTATAGAAATGCAAGACAGTACAGTTTTCTTAAATATTCCAAAAACCAATGAACATATCTCCTCAGATACATTTATCAATGTTTTATCGACTCCAACACACTTCACAAAGTCCAATTCGGAATTGTGTACAAAACTTGAATCACAACATAAATCTCAAAATTACGAAAATAATCAAAACAATGGTCTTACTGATAATTCTGAGAGACAATTTTTCGACTTGGAAAAGGATTCATGGGAATATATAAACACAAATAATAGTAAAGATGAAAACTACATTGGAAACCAAGAACATCACAATTTTGATAGCGAATTCTCGAATATTAATGGAGAAGATTATAATTATTACAGAAGATTATCACAAGAAAGACAACAAAATCAAAATAATTTTCGATCCGAATTTTCCAATTACAAGGACAATCCAAACCGCCACCAGGGAAAATCGTTTTTCAGATATGCAAATAGTTATAGAGAATTTTATGACAACTTAGATACAAAACGAGTACAATTTCCTATATTAAATTTGCGGGAACTACCAAATTATACAGTCAAACAAGAAGATAATGTTCTAACGAATAATAACCGAATAGACTCTTCGGACGATTTTAACGATAATATTCAACCAATTCTAAATCAAAATACTTGTTTTCAAAATGGACATAATTTTCGTACGCATCAAGCAAATCCAAATCAACCGAAACAGTATAATTCCATTTCATCGAACTCAAATGAATTCTGTGAAGTTCTTAAACGTGATGAAAATTTTGAACTAGATTTCATAGATTCGTTAATCTCAGCCGTGCGTTCAATTGTAAATTCCACTATGAATAATCAAAGAAATTCAAATTTGAGGTCGGATCAATACCAGAATTTTAATAAAAAAGGGAGTAATATGAGTCAGATTTGGGATGGCAATATGGAGGATTTCAGTTATAGTAATAATAAAATTTTCAATCAGAATCGTCGTGGGAAGCGAAATCGTCGTACACAACGGTCGAGGAGCTTTGCGAATCTTCTCAAAAGAGGATTTTAAGAGAATGATATGAATGAATGAAAAATATTTAATTATATATAATACATTGGAAAATTAAGCATGCAGATTTTGAAATTTTCCAAATCTAAATATATTTCAATAAAAGGGAAAAATGATAACTTTGAAGGAAAAAGTATAATGAAAGAGAGAAATTAATGAATTAAATATTTTGCTGAAATTAATCCTATTGCGCAAGTAATTATTCCCATGGAAGATCGGAAGATTGATTCCCGATAAAAAATAAATCAGATGCTAATTCCTGATATTGAAACTTATCAGACGATAATTCCTGATAAACTAGATCGGAAGATTAATTCCCGATATGAGATAAATCAGATGCTAATTCCTGATTATAATATTGAAATATAAATCAAGCGCACAAATATATAAATAAATATATCAGAAGATAATTCCTGATGAAGTATATCGGACGTAAATTCCCGATGACGCAATTAATTAGACACGATTTTGAAATTATATTGAAAATTTTTCCCATGGAAGATCGGAAGATTAATTCCCGATAGAATATAGATCAAGCAGTATTCATAATAAAAATAAAAAAAGAAATCAGATGAAATTCCTGATAAAATTTATTCAGATTAAAATTGAACAATACGAAAAGGAAAAGAGAGCTCATACGATTGTTAATTGATATTGAAACCACATCAGTACTTCCCCAATATGGCTGTAATTCGCCTGGGATATACGAAGGTGTGGAAAACAATGAAGGGAAAATTATGAAAATGAATTAGAAAAGTTATTCAAGAATCAACGTAGACAATTTTATTCCTGCAGAAGATTGGATGATAATTCCCAATGAAAACTGGAAAATAAATGAATAAATGAGAGAGAATGTTTATGGCCATATTAGAATAAGATGAATGGAATGAATGTTTGATAAGATATAGCATGAATGTATTGAATATGAACAAATATTTTTAGAAATAGGAAAAAAAATGGAAGAAAGTGCTGAAATGACTAATAACTGATTTACCTCTATTACTCTGCAATTCAACGTTTCGGAAATTAAAGTTCTATCTAAAATCAAAAGACGAAAACTTAATTGACGGATTCAATTGAAATCTACATTTATTCGAAAAAGAAAATTAACATGTCAGACTAAAAATAACTGAGTTTCATGGATATGTCCAGAGTTTGTCCAGGGAATCTACCATACGAATTGTAATAGTGGGCTCATCGGTTGGATACAGAGTCATTTAGAAAAGATAATATAGGGACCCTGAAATCGAAGTACATAACTGATCAGAATTCGGAAAAATTGCTTCATAATCATCATGGAATCAACAAACTTTCGAGTTCTTTTTGATTCTTACATTTGTTGTTCTTTGCATACGAAAACTCAGTAAATATTCATGACGAAGACAAATTCTTAGCATATTATTAAATACAATTAAAGGAAAATACAAACGGGAAAAACATAATAAACGAACGTACAAAAAGCATAAAAAATCCAGCTTGGGTGTACACAAGCATAAAAAATCCTATCTGGGTGTACACAGATACAATATACGAAGAAGGAGTGGAATCCCAAATTTAAGCGCAATAGAAAGTCATTTTGTATGAATCATTTCATGTTGAGAGTTTTTTTTTTTCTCTATAAAAGAATCATTTTAATCCTGGTGGTGAACCAAATATCGCTCGAATCGCTATCACTGTCCATATCATTGTCCTCATCACTAGAAATATATTGCACAGTTTCAGAATCAGATATTTCAATAAGTTCGTTCATTTGAACATCGCTATCATCGGAATCGGAATCGGAGGATATATCTATGACTTCGATATTATCATCAATATCATTATTTTCAGTATGCACCGTATTGGTGGCCAAAATTATTTCACCAGTCAAATTCTCGTTTGGAATTTGAAATTCAATAAAACTGTTGTAGGTAACACCGGAAACAAGATTTTTTAAATCCAATATAACAACACAACCATTGCTTTGGTAGGTTATCACTGACTCGGGTATATCATCACGATATGATAAAGAATCACCACAATATTCACAACGAACAAAACGATTACAATTTAATATAAGAGTGTTATTAAAAAGTTCAAAATAATCAGCACAGTTTACTTTATCAACGGGACAAATAACACCCACATTTTCAACATAAATGATGTCTTTTTCGAGAGCAATGGGAAAAAGGCATGAACGACAAGCAAAACAATGTTGATCTGCTGGAAAAGAATCCATTGGCCAGGGCAAATTCTGTCTTGGTTGGTGTAAATTATCAACCGGATCAATCTCACTTATATTTATTTCATTTGGGATATGGAATACATCAAAATCACTCTCATAAATGGGTACAATATCAGAAATAATAAGACCACGGCACATTTTTGATCTATTTGATAAATGTTCTTGTGTCCCTAACAACTGCGTTTGCGTCACGAGTTTAAATGTTTATTCAGCGCTCAATCACAGTCGAAATAACCCAAAATCCGTTCAAAATTCGTCAATGTGAACGCCGAAAAATCACAGGAAATCCAAAAAATCGAATAAAAATCACAGCAAAATCGGGCAAAAATTCCGAATGTCGCTGGAGAATACAGTCTAGTTGTGTTCAAATCAATTTAAATCAGTTCTCCGTTAAATTTCACTTTGTAAATTCCAAACAGTATTATTTCACCCTATGTTATTGACTATGTA